CCAACACCTCGTCCACCGTCGGGATGGGTATCCTTTCACGAATGATAGCTGCATTTGCCTTCCTCATATCTACGCACAACCGGATATCCCCTGATGCCTTTGGCGCAATCACCACAGGACTAACCTATGACGTCGGCCTATTTACTCGCTCCACTATATCCTTAGCAATGAGGTCTTCAACTTTCGCAGTTACTTTCTCTCCCCGTGCAAATGGACACGCCTTGGTTTCTGAGCTACTTGTGTCACCTTTGAGTCGACGTGTAGTTTCAGTTTGTAGTCTTTCAGCTTGCCGACGCCAACAAACACTGTTGGATACTTAGCCTGAATAACTAGGGCTACGTTCTCGCGAACGACATTGCACTCCAGAAACTCACTGCTGACGCTCGAACTAATACGAAGCAGACCCAGAGCATGTGAGGTTTCGTGGCCCAGCAGACACCTTCCACTCTTAGTGACTACCAAGTGCGAACCTATCCTCTTATCACCTACCGGGATCTCAACTTTAACGTGGCCAATCACTTCCAACTCTCTCTTGCCATACGCATACAACAGCTTGTGGCAATCCTCCATCTTCGCGTTAAGGCCTTGGGCCTTAAGCTCTTCATATTCTTCCATTCCTATGAGGTTACTTACTGACCCTGAATCAATCAGTACTCTTGTTGTAATGCCATTAATATTCAATTCCAGCACTGATTCTTTGAGACAGGTTGCATTGCATGTTTTTCCTTGATTCTCTGTAACTGCAAATGGAAAAGCACAGTTCTCGCTGTCAGTTGCGTTCTGATCGCCCACGAAGTTAGTATTGTCAGACTGGCGTCTATCAGAATCTCTGCTTCGCTGATTTGGTTTACCTCCAGTTGCATAATTACCACTCTGTGCCCTACAACACAAAGCAAAATGACCATACCTCACACATTTTGCACATTTCTCTCCTTTTGCTGGACAACTCCTAGCAATGGGCAGATGCCCCTCTCTTCCACAATTGTAGCACTTTCTGGGTTTATCATCTCTTTGTCCTTGTCTTGTCTTGATTGCATTGACGGTGTCTCCTTCATTACCACTGGGTTTACAGTCATGTTTGTTGCTTGTCTCCCTGCCGCTTCCCAAGCACGAGCTTTATCTAAGGCTTCTTCCAGTGTAATATTCCTGTGTTCCAACAATATCCTCTTCAGCTCAAAATCCGTTAACTACTCATTGAGCTGATCCCTCAAGTTGTCGTTCAAACTCGTTCCGAAATTGCAATGCCTAGCTTGTTTTCTTAGGCGTACCAGAAACTGGTCAGCGGTCTCCCCCTCTTGCAGTGACAGCTGGCGAAAAACATGGCGCTCGTAAGGAATATTCTCCTCGACGCGAAAGTAGAAATCCAGCTCGCGAATAGCGACCTTGTAAGCGTTATCACCCTCCGCTGGGATAGGACCAGCATCTTGAAAGTCTTCGAATATGTCTTGAACTTCCATACCGGCGTAATGCAAAAGTTGAGAAGTCTTCTTACGAGCATTGTCCATGCCCTTTCCTTCAGCATAATATTCGAACGCGCGCTTCCATTTACGCCACCTGTCCGCGACTTCCGGAGCTAGTCCGGATAAATCCAATGGTGATAGTGCTTCTCACTCATATTTAGACCATCCTCGTCACCAATGTAATATTCCTAGAAGCCACTAAGGTCAATAACTCGAACAACACACCGTCACCCTTCGAACTCCCGCTCTTTTTCACATACACACACACACTCTCTAGGTCACCTGACCAGTGTGTATAGTTCCGGATGTCCACAGGACACCACACAAACAATTGCCGTTGCTGAAATACTCATTTTATCACTATAGATGTACAGATTATTTAGGAGCGTTCGATTCCTTAAATTACGTACGTATACATATTGAATGCATATCCTCTATCCCTACATACGTGGAGTTGATTTTTGTGATAGGCGCTAAGGAAATATAAAATCGATGAGGTGACTCTGTTGACTATGTACACTAGAAACTCGCTGATTGTTAGTTATTTTATTTTCGGACCAGTCAAACTTTAGTTTCAAAGTCCAGCTTACGTGAATTTACAACGGATCAGTCAGTGTCACATTCAAATGATACTTAAAGGCCCATTTCCATCCGAGATCCTTTGCAGTCGTTTGTTTTTATTTTAGAATCGCGCTATTGTTAAATGGCGAACTCTGATAGTCATTCACAAACACTATTAAAAAGGAAAACAAAGATTTGGGGAAGAACACAGTAAACAGATTTGCAGCGAAATATTTGAGACTGAAAAATCATAAACCGAGTCTGTGCATAAAACTTGCACAAAGCTTACTTGATGTTGAAGGAAATTGTTCGGCTTCAACACTAACTAAAATATAAACAAATGACCAATATTGGCCAAAACTGTTTTACTTTACGCATTTCAATTATAGAATAATGACTTGTACAAATGAGATCGCTTATATACATATCTCAGGATCTCAAGTAAAAATCAGTCAAGTAATTATTCTCACCTCGAAAAAATCTCCCCGGAGTCTCTAGTTCCATCGTAGGAACAATGCACTAACATTTCTGCCAAAGCACTGTCTGTAGTGCTACCGAAACCCATTGTTGTTTTCCTTGCCCTCCATAAATCATACACAGACTCTCGAAGTCGAATAACCTTTGCCGAGCCGGGCAGACCCGGCCTTCCTCTAAACCGCTTCTTCGGCGGCATCAACTTTTCAAATGACGTTTTTCACCGTCATACATGTAAGAATTAAAAACTATTTACTGATATGGATACTACGATAGTTTGTTGTTCGCACATGATTCAAGATGGAACTTTGAAAGCCCTAATTAGTAAGATGGAAGAAGATATCAAAGCGATTCCGCAGCTTCGAGGAAAATAGCGTATTTTTCATATATAAAAAATAATCTGGGAGCGCAAGGCATCTCGGTTGAATATTGGCCTTTAAGCAAAACGCGAAATTTACTCGAGTGCGGAGGATTTCAACCACCTACTTCGCTTCGCCTAGAACGATATCTACAGCATTGCTATGAAACTTTTTCTAAATATTAGCTTTACATTTAAAACGCTGCTCGCCGATAGTCCGATATTGAAGTGTCACTCACGGCCAACTGCTGGAAAAGTGACTGGTTTGAGGCTTGTTTGGTGTTCCAGGAGCTGTATCGACGTTGGAAAGTGGTTCACAAGTGGGAAATGCAGTGAATTAAGCTCAAGCATAAGTTCAATCAATCGATATGCTGTTTCTTCAATGGTGTAACTCGCACTGTGTATGCGTATGTTCTTAGTGTGAACATCCTTGTACTTGTTTTCATCCTCTTGCTAAAAGTTATTTCAGAAGTGCGAAACAGGCTTCAAGCGCGGTAATCAGTTGCAGCATAAGCATAAACATAACAAGCTAATGTGCAGGTGGGCACAGCTACAACATATATAAACATGAGCACAAGCGCTCAGTCGATGTTATGTTAAATAGGGACATGTTTGGTATAAGCAGTATAGTGCTTGCTGATTGCCTGAAAGTCTTTCGCTTATGTTTATCCTTACGCTCATGCCAACCAGTGTAAGCATAAAAAGAAGGCAATGTTTTGATAGTCTTATGGATATATGCTTATCCTTTTTTCCGTGCGTTCCCTCCAGCACAAAAGCTTTTACATACTTATCCCTATACTTGCATCTCAAGTAATTAGTGAGGTCAATATTGGAACAATAGTTTTATGATAAACAAAACAGCACCCTTTTGAACTTTCTTTCCACAAACCTTTACAGTAAAATCTGGAAAAGTTATTGTCTTACACTAAATCCTAATCAGACCATATTTTCTGTCCTTTAGGCCTTATTTAGTTTCACATCGCATTCCTTATAATGTTCATTTACCAGTCTAACGATTCATACCCTAGTATGGAAATCAAACACCTACTTCTATTGACGACACAAATTACATTGGTCTTATCCAATTCACGAGTTGGCTCACAGAGCCTTTGATTCTCCTTCGTGTGAGTTTGTTATTCGTCATTCAATAAATAGGGGAGTTTGACTTCTCAGAGATGGAAGGAAAACAAAGATGAAAGGCCTCGATTATTTCTCATTGTTTCTTTCATAATTTTACATTTTTTTCTCGCGGACTCTGAAAAAATACATATTGTACGGCTTTGTCGGGAGGAGTTAAATATCGTGTTTTTATTTTGTAATTCAGAGATTCGTATTAACAAAGATTTAGTAATACATAGACAGGTAAAAACGAACGATATAATATCACGACGTTTCGGCGACTTCAGGACGCTATTATCAAGGGTACGAATGAAAATAAAATTAACAAATGCGAGTTAAAGAGTTACAACTAATTTGCATAGGGGAGGTAGCTACACAAATACTTTAGCACGGATAGAATCCGTTTACACGTTCAAACTCGGTGTTAATTGTTTGATGTAAAGCATCTCGTTGACAAGACAATCGAATTTGTTCATGCACTTCTTGAGAACTTTGAAACAGCTAAGAAGGTCCTCAGGGACAGCACCTGCGTGGTCGTTGTCGTAGTGCTTGCGTACTGAAGATGACGTGCTCTTATGGCTATCCACGCGGGCATATAAATGCCCACGTGTGAAACCAACATAGCTCCCTGTATCGCACAGGTTACATTTAAATTGATACACTACGCACTGTTGATTAACCAGTTGTGGTTTGGTTTCACATTCTTTAAGGTCTTGGCCAATTTTCCGACCGACAAATAGGCGCTGGATTGTGGTTTGGAGCTTAATGCTAAGGTCTTTCAACTGTGTCTTAATAATGTTAGCGGAGTCTTGGTCCTTGAAGGGTATGACTACTCGGGTTACATCATTTTTCGCCAATCTTCCCAACACCTGCAATGGCTGCTGGTCAGCAATTCTCGAGTTAATAAAGGTGTTAATGGCGGAGTTGATAAGGTGGTGAGGGTAGTCCAAACGTGAGAATAAATTCTTCAAGCGCTCACACTCCTCAGAAAAATAAAGCCATGAAGAGGACAAACGGTACGCGCGATC